GCAGCAGCAGCAGCAGCAGCAGCAGCAGCAGCAACTGCTGCAGCAGCGGCCGCAGTGGGCGGCTTCCTCCTTCGTGGGAGACGCGGGTGAGCCTGCAGCAGCAGCAACAACAGCAGCAGCAGCAGCAGCAGGTTGGGGTTTTGGTGATGATGGCAGCAGCAGCAGCAGCAGCAGCAGCACATTGGACGCTGTATCTTTGCTGCAGCAGCAGCAGCAACAGCAGCAACAGCAGCAGCAGCAGTATCGATTGGTGCTGCTGCAGCGTGTGACTACTATGGAGAGCAGTATCGGTGATGTTGCTGCTGCAGTGCAGCAGCAGCTGCAGGAGCTGTTTGTCTTTGCTGATGCATGCGCAGTTGCTGCTGTTGGGGCCTTGAGAAAGGAAGTAGGGGACCTATCTGCTGCTGTTGCTGCGCTGCTGCAGCAGGACGAGATGTTTGCTGCTGCTGCTGCTGCTGCACTGCAGCAGGTTGTGCTGCTGCTAGGAGACACAGCAGCAGCAGCAGATGGATCTATGGGGGCGCAGCAAGCCCTAGACAACGTGCTGCTGCCTCTGCTGCTGCAGCTGGAGCAGCAGCAGCTGCTGCTGCAGCAGCAACGCATGCCTGTGCTGCAGCAGCTAAAAAGCACTCGCCGTCGTCTGGGTTTATTGATGGAGACAGCAGCAGGAATAGCAAAGTCTACAGAAGGAGACAGCAGCAGCAGCAACAGCAGCAGCAGCAGCAGCAGCAGCAGCAGCAGCAGTTTGGGGGCCCCGTTCTGTCAGCAGCTGCTGCAGCAGTGGCAGCAGCTGCAGCCGCCAGAGTTCAGAGGCCGTCTGCTGCTGGCGCAGCAGCTGCATCACGAAAGTTTAGTGGAGCAGCTGCGGCAGCTAGCGAGGAGCCTGCAGCAGTTTGTTGCTGCTGATCAAGCAGCAGCAGCAGCACCAGCAGCAACAGCAGCAGCAGCAGCAGCAGCAGCAGCAGCAGAGTATGGAGATGCGACGCACAAACGCCAGCATAACCAGCGGCTCCAACTGCATCATCATCAGCAGCATCAGCAGCAGCAGCAGCAGCAGCAGCAGCAGATGCATGCAATGCAGACAAAAGGAGAAGAAGGCGAGGGTGGTTTTATATGTGGGGTATCTGAGCTGCCTATACACCCGGGGGCTGTCGATGATATTCTTGCTGCTGCTGCTGCACTCCGAGACACCGCGCTGCAGCTGGGAGCAGCAATACACCAGGCGATGAGGCCCCTGCACGAGCATGGGGGCCCCCAGGATATATCTGCTGTTTTTACCCAGCAGCAGCAGCAGCAGCAGCAGCAGCAGCAGCAGCAGCAGCCGTTGCTGCTGCTGTCGTTGCAGCAGCAGCAGCAGCAGCAGCAACAGCAGCAGCAGCAGCAGCAGCAACAGCAGCAACAGCAGCAGCAAGGGCTGCTGAATGGTGCAGCACCGCTACGCATGCAGCCGAAGGAATTAA